CTCTGTCCTGTAGGGTCACTATGACTTGGAATTGACTCGATGGCAACAGGTTTTTTGTTTGTTTGTTTTGGTATTGGGAATTTATTTATTATATATTAATTTATTATACACTCTGCTTACCTTCTGGCTTCTTAGTTACCCCTTTGCGCATGACTTCTCTGCCTCTCACCCTACCCAGCATAGGTATCAGCGAATACCTCCAAGGTAATAACTGCCAAAAATATTAGGCACACTTCTCTGCAATTCTCGTATTTCTAGGATCTTTGGTCCTTGTGTCCTAGCTGCCTTGGTAGCCCTGAACTCCGGTTTTTGTCTCCTCAGTCCAGTGAGACTGGAAAACTCTAACCTGCCACTTTTTCCTTCTTCAATTATAAATTGGCAAATGTCTTGAAGAGAAAATTGGTAGAGAAGTTCAGAATTAACTCAGTCTATTTCTCATCTCTGTGAGACCTTGGCTACACAAGTCCTGGCTGCCTTGGTTGCCTTCCAGTGTCTTAAAACAATTTTTATAGCTTTTTTTTTTTAATCATCGTGATAAAATTAAACTAATACAAATTATTCCTGGGTTGGAAGTCAGTTAGACAGTTTAATAGATGTTGGAGAAAGTGGCTTATTTTCATTTTCTCCAATATTGGAGAAAATAAAACTATAAAGCCTATAAAAAGGAAGAGTCAAGATAATTTAAAGACTTAAGAATGAAAGGTAAAATGCTAAGTGAATAACTTAGGATATAGAAGAATTTTTAATAGCCCAGAGTTAGGGAAATAATTTTTGCAACTAAAAGTAAGAATTATTGGGCAAAAAAGTAAGATTTTTGTTGTTGTTATTGTTGTTCTCCAAACAGACAAATGAAAGAGTAACAAAAAAAATTAACCACATCTGAAATAAAATATGAACTAATACCTAAACTCTACAGGGCACTGCAGCACATCTACAAAAAGAAAAGAAAACTCAGTAGAAAAATGGGCGAGGATATGCGTAGAAAATTCCCAGAAACTCAGAAGGCCCACAGTTACATGAATCAATACTCAAACTCACTAGTAATCATAGAAATGCAAATTAAAATAACCACGAGATACCACTTTCCACTCATCAATTTGGCAAAAAATTAGAAAACTGGGCAATGCCAAGTGTTAGCAGGAATTTATGATAATAGAATTCCTATGCACTTCAGGTGGGAATCTAGAGTAGCACAGAAATTATGAAGAATGTATATACATAGTTTTTTTTCTTAAAATGTACTATAAGGGGCCTGGATGAAGATGTTCATTGTAGCATTGTTTATAGTGGCTAAGAAATGAATGCTACCTAGCTATTCATCAGTAGGACAATGCATATATACAGTAGAGTGAGTGCACAGTATGGAATTCTAACCACAAGCTAGATGTCCATCCAGCAACATGTATCCATTTTGAAACACAGAATGAGTTCTTATGCACAAAACTTTTCATGTAAATTAAAACACATGTCACATAAAAATAACATGACATCATTTGTAAGGAGGCATATTTAATATATTAGAGTAGCTATCTAGGGTGGAGTGGAAAACGAGGATAAACAGGAATTTTAAAAAAAATCTTGTTGCAAGAAGTTAATCACTCAATTATAGACTTCCTCCCTTACTCCCTCCCTCTCTTCCTTCCCATTCTCCAAGAGATGTTAATTGTATGCCACAATGTACAAGACTCTGTGTCAGGTGCTGTGGGGGAAATAAAGATGATTTCCACAGTGGCTTGGCCTTCAACGGTTTTGTGTTAGAGTCTAAAGTGAATGGACTAAAAGCTTTAGCAGCAGTCCTTTGTCCCAGAGTTAAAACTCACAAAAACATTCTCATTCTACCATAAAAATAATAAATGCTTAGATGTGCTAAGAGCTCTCAAGGATGATAGCAGTACTCAGTAAAATAAATAAGCTATGTGACTGAGGCTAGAGTGTCACGCTGCTGTTTCTTTTATTGGCAGACTTTTCTGATAATACATATGCCATGGGTCTCATGCGAATGCCTACAGGGACCAGCAGGAAATAAAACGGGTAAAGAGAACCAAATGCGAGACAGTAAGAGAGTAGTGGAGACTGTGGCAAACCAGAGCTCATGTTATTTGACTAAAGTAGGCTGAGCTCCAGCTCATTGTTTCGGTGGCAATCGTGGCAATAGTCTTCCATTTTCAAGAACAGCTGAAAGTATAGATTTCTATGTGAAATTGTCTCATTTTTAAATATTGTCTACTTCAAATATTTTTAAACACTGGGAGGCTCAAATCATTTTGTTTTTTACCAGATTTGTTCTTTGAGCTAAGAGTTTGCTGCCTCTAATATCCATGCTATTTTTTGCATCATTATATATTTTTTAGCCTTAAATTATTTACACACGCCTAAAAGGATGAAGGGAATGTGTTGGGTAAAATGCTAATTTCTGGCATCTACAATAAGACAACAGGTTCGGTGTCGGCTGTTTGCCAAGCACCATACAATATGCTTTGATGTATTAAAGAAACAAGACACCTAGGCCTCTATCCTGGAGTGCCTTATGGTGTTTGGGGAACAAGAAAACAGGCACCCAGGAAGCATATGTACATGGGAACATTTAACCCAAACCAAACCCACTACTGTTGAGTCAATTCAGACTCATAGCAACCCTGTAGGACAGAGTAGAACTGCCCCGTAGGGTTTCCAAGGAGTGCCTGGTGGATTCGAACTGCCTGCCTTTTGGTTAGCAGCCAAACTCTTAACCACTACACCACCAGGGTTTCCATGGGAACATTTAAGACCCAAATATTTATCAGGCTATATAAATACATAAACAGTAGAAACTGATTTGTGTGGAACTCTCTCTTGTCAGATTAAATATATGTTTATATATATATATATATAAACCAAACCCACTGCCGTCGAGTCAGTTCTGACCCACAGCGACCTAATAATGTTTCCAAGGCTGTAAATCTCAATGGAAGCAGACTGCCACATCTTTCTCCCAAGGAGCCACTGGTGGTTTTGAACCGCCGACCTTTTGGTTAGTGGCCAAGCACTTTAACCACTGCGCCACCAGGGCTCCACATATATATATATATATATATGTGGTGGCACAATCAGACTCATAGAGACACCATAGGACAGAGTAGAACTGCTCCCATAGGGTTGCCGTGATCGCTATAGGGTTGCTATGAGTCAGGATCAACTCAACAGTAATGGGTTCAGTGGCACATGATTAAGTGCTCCACTGCTAACTGAAAGGTCGGAGGTTCAAACCCACCAGCAGCTCTGAGGGAGAAAAGACCTGGTGATCTGCTCCTATAAAGATTACAGCCTAGGAAACCCTATGGGGGTAGTTCTCCCGTCATCTAGGGTTGCTAGGAGTCAGAATGAACTCGACAGCACACAAGAATAACAACAGACAGTACAGGATCTTGATATGTATAGTTTGAACTTCACAGAAGTGGCATCATACTGTGGGTGCCTTTCCGCCTCATTGCTCAGTGCTTTGTTTGAAGATCAGCCGTTGTGCCGTGCAGCGCTCCGGTTCAGGCTTTTTCGCTGCTGTATTACATTCCTTTGTAAAAATCCACTACCTGTAGCTATTCATTCCTACACTGGTGGGTGGGCAGTTAGGTTGCTTCCTACTAAGTCCTTTCTTTACAAGCAGCATCTCAGTTAATCTCCACCATGACCCTCTCAGGGAGGCACACTGATCATCCCGTTTTCCAGATGAGAAAATTTTGACTCAGAGTTCTTTGGCAGCTTGCCCAGGGTCATGAGTAGCAAAATGAGGATTTGAATCCACATCCTTTTTGCAGAAGAATCTGAGTTTATAACGACTATGTCATCAACTGTACTTTGTGTTTTATTAATTTAGATAGCTGATCCCGCTAATAATGACCTCTTGAGGCTGACAGGCGCTCAATAAATGGAGCCTTTCTCTGAGGACAATTTGAATTGGTGTTAAAAGTTATCAGTTGGTAGTTTAGTCCTTTGAAAATTGCTACTCCACATACCGCGTTGCGTGGATTAGCCAAAAACCTCATGTCCTAACCACCCAAACCAAGCCTGTTGCCATCGAGTCGATTCCTACTCATCGCAACCCTGTGGGACAGAGTAGAACTGCCCCATAGGGTTCCCAAGGCTGTAATCTTTATGGACGCAGATTGCCGCATCTTTCTGCTGTGAAGTGGCTGGTAGGTTGGAACCTCCAACCTTTCAGTTAGCAGCCGAGCGCTTAACCACTGAGCCACCGAGGCTTCTTTCCTTACCACAGTGGGTAGAAATTTAGGAGGAATAACTGCTGACGCGTTGCCAAGAGTTGGAAAAGTTTTCAATAAAAATGAGACGGACCCAAGGTGACTTCTCCCTATTCTTCCCCGTAACATTGTATTATTACGGTTACTGTATTACAATATATTGTAATGTTGATGCAAAGTTATCGAGGACTTCTTAACCAGTGTTCTCTTCCTCTGTCAGAATCAGCTTATCGGCAGTGGATTTGGTTTTTGGTTGAGGGGCCACGGTAACGGCTGTGAAGTTTTGCTGCCTAGGGGAACTTGTCAAAACGCTGACACTTTTTTGAGCTTTTCTTCATCTCTAGAAGTCACGCCGTGTCCTGGTTCTTCCCAATCCTCTGGCTTTTGTGAATCCAAATCTAGACGCTCACTCTCTGTACCTGTCTTTCCCTTCGTCCAGCTTCCTGGGTGGCTCCAGCTATTCAGATGACATTTAAAAGAGACCCCAATGTAATTTTTCTAATGGCAAAATACAGTAGGAAGGAGGGGAAAGTTTTAATCAAGTGGGTGTATTCTCCCGGGGAGAGCCAGTACTTCATTTTAATTCCTCATTTCCCTTTGATGAAAACTTTAGTGAATTTTTATTATGTAGAATTTATAAGAAGGCTGGGTTTAGGTAATCAGCTTTAATATTTATGCTCTTAGGGAAAAAAATGGGAATCATTAGTAAGCATGCATAATTAATGAATAAATTATATTTCCCCTTTGTTTTCTTCCAGGTACAAGGAAATGCTAGAACTAGTGATCTCACCCAGCCTTACTGTAAACGGCGATTGTCCGGATAAAGTGAAGCCTAACCGTGCTGACGTTGATGTCTGGACTCTGAGTGGCATAGAAGGTAGGCCTCCTGGGGTGAGTTTTGGGGACCGGTGGTGGTTCTCGCTCACCCCGCAGAATATAGGAAGGGACTGATGGCCTTAGAAAAGTATCCTTTCAAAAGTACTGTCATTATAACAGTTTCTCCTAACGCCATTTCAATGATTGCCTCTGGGCCAAAACTCTGTTTTATGTTGCTAGAAGTGTTGACTAGTCATTAGCGACAAAAGTATGCTCGTTTGGGTCTGAGCTTCCTTTCTTGGTCTCCCGTTCCAGGAAATGCTGGCACCTCCCCATGGATCTGAGTCCAGACGATAGTCAGGTGTGGTCCCAGGCCCAGCCCTGGGTGTAGCCTGCAGGGTCTCTGTCTGAAGCTCTGACAGCTGTCTGCTGCTCCAGTCTCTCCATCCAAGCCTGCGCCTTGTGTACGGGGTTTGCTATTAGAACAAGAACTTGTCTGCCTTTTGCTTTCAGGTTGGATTGGAGTCAAGGAAGCAGAGGAGAGTTAAATCTGTTTAAAAAAATTATTGGCAAAGGATGCGGCCGGACTAGTTTTCACTAGAACAGTTCCAGCTATTGTTTGCTCTGTTTGGGATCTGTCAGCCTTCCTGGTAAAGCTGGGAGTTAGCAAAAGGCATTAAGCTATTATGTTTAACCATTGGGCTTAACCCTTTCCTTGGTCGGCTCTGGGATTTGCGGCTCGGGCTCTGAGACCCCACCGGTCCCTCCTTCGCTGTCTGTGTTTGATGCCAGCTCGTGGGACACACATGCTCTGCAACCGTCCTGGGAAACCAAAGGGATGTTTGTCAAATCGAATGTAAAGTCCCAAGGAATTTGCTTGCTTTTAAGCAAATCAAAGCTTCCGTGAGTAATTATTGCTGTCACCAAAACAATGACATTTCACTTGTGTGCTGGTTATGAAGCTGGAACAATCCTGCTCCAAGCACCACCAAGGAGGGTCTGGGCTCCCGGACCAACACTGGGTAGTAGAGAACACACCCTCATTCTTCTGGCACTTTGGAGCGTCCCAGTAAACCACCCTGGGCTCCTTGAGAGTTTGGGAAGGTTTATTGAGCCCTGTTCAAAGACAGGCATGCTTTTCTTTCTGAGCAAGGGCACCAGTCCACTTAAGACTGACTGTATTTCAGAGCCAGTAGAGAGAGGAGGGAGCCCTGGTGGCGCACTGTTTAAGCACTTGGCTGCGGACCGAAAGATTGGCGGTTCGAACCAACCCAGCAGCTCTGAGGAAGAAAGACCTGACAATCTGCTTCCATAAAGTTTACAGCCTAGAAAACCCTATGGGGCGGTTCTCCTCTGTCACATGGGGTTGCTATGAGTCGAAGTCAACTCAGCATCGACAACAGAGAGAGGAAAAGGCATAGGCTTCCAGGGGAGGAAGATCCAAGTCTGAATCCCAGTCCTGCTGCTTGCCAGCTGAGTGACCTTAGGCAAATTGTTTAATTTCTCCGAGCCTCAGTTTTCTCACCTGTCAGATGGGGGTATAATAATGACCCATTTCCCTGGGTGGTACAAATGTTAACATGCTAGACTGCTAACAGGAAGTTTGGAGGTTGGATTCCCCCTAGAGGCACCTCAGAAGAAAGGCCTGGTGATCTACCCCCAAAAAATTAGTCATCGAAAACCCTATGAAGCAGTTCTACTCTGACACACAGGGGTCACCATGAGTCAGAGTTCACTCGAGGGCAACTGGTTGGTTCATAGGCTGCTTATGGCAAGGATTGAATGAGCTAATGTTTTGCAGAGTTCCTGGCACACTCGGGGGCATGGTAAATGGTTAACCTTTATTCTATTGTCATTCTCCTCTGAATCAAATAATCACAGTGAATTCAAAACCCTGGTTGCAAACTGGCAGCCCACAGCCAAGTCTGGCTCTCGGGTATGCCTTTGGTTTACATTGTGTTTTAAGTAAAAATGAACTTGTAAAAACTGGGAGCGCTCACATACAAATCTGGATTTCTGGTTTCTCTTGAAGTGTTAGGCGCTTTAGCAACATGGGGAGCGCTGGTGGCACAGTGGTTAAGAGCCAACGGGTTGGCAGTTCAAATCCACCAGCCGCTCCTGGGAAACCCTGTGGGGCAGTTCTGCTCTGTCCTGTAGAGTCACTATGAGTCAGAACCGACTCGATGGCACATTACAGCAACGTAGGGTCAATATGTTGTTGGAATCATCAGAATCGATGGCAATAGGTTTGTTTTTTTTTGGTTAGCAACACCGGGCCCCCGTTTCTGCCCGGCTGCCATTGAGGGACAACTGTCCCTTAGATGAGACCCGGTGCTCTAGTCGTCACAGCCCCTGCCACTCCCTTTTGATCTAGACTGGGCCATTTCACTCATTTACGGGGCCTGCCTGGCCCCTGTAGACGTTTGAGTTTGCAGCCCCTGTGCGGTAGCTGTGAAAGGTGACCAATGTCATGGTTAATCTGGTGCCCTTTGAAGACCCCTCAAATGGCACCTATCCATCTCCCCTCTCCTAAACACTAGGGAAAAGGCAAGCAGCTGGCCCCAAAGAGTTGTACCACAGATCTTCCAGGTTTGCCATGGCGTTGTGAGGGGTTGCTTTTCTGTCTCTTGGTTGGTTTTGTTCTATCTCATTGCAGATTTCAAAGCCAGCTTCTGGAATGCACGTCAGTGACTTGGTGATTAATTTTTGTGAGCACATACTTTGTGCTGGCCACTGCGCAAAGCCATGTAAATCTATACCAGTTCTCCTCTTCCTTCTCCATCACCATCAAAGCAAGCCCTTAGCACTTGCTACCTGCCAGGCATTACATGTATTAACTCATTTGATCTCCACAACTCCAAGAAGTGGGTACTATTATTAACCCCATTTCACAGATGACATCCAGACTCTAACGCACAGAGAGGTTAAGTAGCTTGATCAAGGTGACACACTTCAAGGACAGAGACAAAATTTGACCTTAGGCAGTCTGGCCCCAAAGTCTATTCTTCAGATGAGTATACTGTATTACACCCCTATTAGACTATCCACCCATTTTACAGATGTGGAAGCTGAGGCTTGGGGGAGTTAAGTAACCAGGTTAAAGTCACACAACTAGCGGCAGCCAGGAATCACACCCAGGCACTCTGGCTCCGCAGTCCCTGCTTCTAAACCCAATAATCCACTTTCTTCCAAACTCTTAAGAGTCTGCAGACCCCAGATGTCCAATCTCCCCACTCCAGACCCCACCAAGCCCTGACTCCTTTTTATAATGGAGTTGTCACAAGAACTACTCCCAAATTCATAGAGGGCAGAGCTGGTGGGGTCGGGTTATGCACATTTTTCTTTCTCTGTCCTGTGAGATGGGCAGTGAGCTCCTGTGATGCTAAGGGACATTCCACCCGAGTGTGGCTCCACTTGCCAGACTGAGCCAGTCTTCCCGCCTGGCATCCTGTCCTCCTACCTTCTGGGCCATTCATTCTGTAACAGAGTCTTTAGGAGGGATGTCAACTGCCCAGCCGAGGAGGACCCCAGAGAGTCAAGAGCCTCGGGTCTGCACTCAGGGAGATGCTGGAGGGAACGTGGACCCACGAAGCCCTCCAGTGGCCCCCCCTGTGACCCCGGCTCTGCCCCTTACCAGCTGTCTATCCCTGGGCGAACGGCCTAACCTCTTCGAGGCTCAGTTGCCTTTTCTGTCAAATAGGGATGATGCTGCCCTGACCTCATTGCATTCACATGGGGATGAAATGAGTTAAAACGTGGAGAGGACTCTGTTTTTAAAAAGTGTAGAATAAAATCTAAATTCCTTACCTTTGGGCACCAGGCTCTACCTGTCTGCCTCTGCCAGCCTCCCAAGCTCATCTCCTCCACCTCCCCGCTTTGCCCAGCCCCTGACCTTCCTTCTGGTTTTCTAACTAGAAAGCCTGATTTGCCCTCAGGGCTTTCGCACCTGCTGTGCCCTCTGCCTGAAATGCCCTTCCTTTCCTCCTTTTTAAAGGACAAATTCATCCCTAGTCACCAGGTAATATATAAACACACTATACACTGCCCTTATAATGGGCCCAAATCCCTTTTGCCGCATCCGCCCAATCTTAGCCCCTTCCTCTCTTCCCCGGAAGTAACCGCTGTTGTCATGTTTTGGTGGTGTGAATGGTTAATGTGCTCGGCTACTAACAGAAAGGTTGGAAGTTCAAGTCCACTCAGAGGCACCTTGGAAGAAAAGCCTGGCAAGCTACTTCTGAAAAATCAGCCATTACAAACCCTGTGGAGCACAGTTCTACTCTGACACGCATGGAGTCGCCATGAGTCAGAATTGACTTGATAGCAACTGTTTTTTATTTTTATTTTTAGAAATTATACAGTATTGCTTGGGGTAGGGATTAAAACACTAACACATATTTTTTATAACTTGCTTTTTTTCACTGAAGATATATGCTAGTGATGATCTACCTCTTTTTTTTTTTTTAACTGTGTAGTGTGCCAGAGAATGACTGTGTCCCAGTTCGTTTAACCATTCCCATACCAAGGAACACTTAGGTTACTTTTGTGATTTTTAATTGTTTTGTTCTTTTTTTCTTACATACATTGTTATGAGACCGCAACCACTCACCCCATTCTTCGACAGCACACTCCTCCCCTCCGCCCCTGATTCCCCATGAACATTCAACCAGCTCCTAACTCTCTCTGCATTCCCACCTCACGTCTGGACAGAAGCTGCCGCTTTGGTCCCGTGTATCTACTTGTCTAAGAGGCACATTATTCACAAGTATCACTTTCTGTCCCACAGTCCAGTCCGATCCCTGTCTGAAGAGTTGGCCTCGGAAATGTTTTAGTTCTGGGGTGATGGAGAGACCAGGAGCTGTGCCTTCCGGGGCACCCCCAGTCTTAGTCAGACCATTAAGTCTGGTCTTCTTACTAGAATTTGAGTTCTGCATCCCATCTTTCTACTGCTCCATCAGGGACCCTCTGTTGTGTTCCCTGTCAGGATGTTCATTGGTGGTAGCCGGGCACCATCTAGTTCTTCTGGTCTCAGGCTGATGAAGTCTCTGGTTTATGTGGCCCATT